TAAAACAAAAATGAAATATAATCATTTTACAGTTTTATTTATTTACAGTTCATAACAAGAGACAAGGCACCATTTCTCTCCTTTGTGTTCCAGTCATCACAGCAGATTAAACTTTTAAAATATTTGCAAATAGTATAAAGAAATATATAAAGAAGTAAAACACTAATTTATTAATACTTAGAAATACTAAAATGTACATTTGTCAGCAAAAACTGCTGCCATCTGAACCGAAACGTTACAAACCAGCTTACCCACAATCTGTGTATTTTTCTATGCTGGCTACTTAAATTGGCATCCAACAAGCTATTTGCTTTAGTCTTTTATTAGACAAAGGCTGACTGGTTAGTTCAAGCTTCAACTGCATCCAAAGGACTGAAAATGTTTTAACACAGTGACTGAACTTGATTGAAGTCTCCGTAGTTTGTTGAATCTGTTTCGAATGACTTATTTTCACAATTCCAGGAATTTTTAAAAGGCACCAAAAAGCATTACAACGCTGAGCTCGAGTCTGTGGACTTCAAAGGAAATGCAGAGGAGGCCAGGGTCCACATCAACAGCTGGGTGGAGAAGCAGACACAAGGTAAGCATAATGTAACTTTAAATGATCTCCACTGTAAATCCTTGGGGATCAGTTGTGTTGTGTTCAGTTGAGACATTATTACCGGATTGTCCACCGTCCACATTATTTTCTGTTTCCAGTTCTTCCAGTCTAATTTCTATTCAGTATTAAGCAGCACTATCTCTGGGTTTTACTGTTTGGTTTCATGCTATTAATAAAACCATCACAGCAGTATGTTGCTGTAAATAGCAGGCCAATTCTTCTATTCTTATTATATTATGTGATGGGTACTTCTACTTTGATCACTTGTGTCTTTAACATATTTTTATTTTTCAGGCCCATTTAGGATTGGCTGCTATTGATTCTATATCTTTATATTATCTTAAGTGCAGCAGGAAATTCATTCATTGTTTTTATAAAAGCGCGATACAAATACAGGCCATTTATAAATCTACCATCTATAATAATAGGATACAAGGACTTTCTATGAGGGTTATAGGACTGTGGTGCCACCTGCTGGAAATGAGACAATCTTAATCCCAGTTGAAAGAAGACATTATTTTTGTAGGAGCCATTTTTGGGTTGATACCTTATGTTGCCGCTAGAGGTAACCTTTTTAAGTTTCTTTTTTTTAAACTTTATTTAACAAACAATGAGTATACAACATACGAACAGATGAAGTATACAAAACAACAGAACATGAACACAAAAAGCCAAGAGTAAAAGAAAAAGGTAACAATTATAAGAATACACATACATGTATTGTTTTGAGAGCCTTTGTGTTGGTGGAGTCTGATATTGATTGTATGTACATTTCCACATCCTTAAAATAATGACAGAAATATGGTGTTTTGTTAGTAAACTTACATTTATGGATAAAAAATGTAGCTAAAAGTATGAACAAATTTATCATAAAAAACATTTCTCATACTTCTTGGGGAACTTAAACAAACAGAATAAAACATTTTCCCATCGTAAAGAAAACTCCCTTAAAATATGGACAATAACAAACCTGCTAAATTCCTTCCAGAATCTCTGTGTAAAAGAACAGTACCAAAAAAGATGCGTCACAGTTTCTGGATGATCCCCACAGAAAGTACAATTAGTATTTATGTCCCTTTTACATTTGACCATGTAGTGACTGGCTGGATAACATTTATGTAGAGTTTTAAATGAGACTTCTTTCACCTTATTTACAATCAAATATTTATGGGGGACCACCCAGACTGTCTTCCACTTGATATCTGGAACATATCGGTTCCAATAAGATGTTATATATGGGAGAGAGACGATATCTTCTTGGAATAAACTACGTATTCTCTTATTGCTGTTACCAAGTTCCTATGAAAAGCAGATTTTTCCTATTGGTGACTCAGCTGGATCGGGGAGAGTGACTGAGGTAGATATTGAGCTGTCAGTGTTTTTATATAACATTAAAGTCCCTGAGGGTGTGGCACCAAGCACCACTGAGGATTCCACCTTTTTAAGTTCCTGTATGGTAGGTTTATGTAAGGTATTTAAGGTGGACGCACGTAATCAGCGTCAGGTGTGTTGTTAATCATAAGAAGGCAAAACGTTTGTGACCGCTGCGCTTTTATCTTAAAATGTTTGGAACAAAGACCAAAAAGGACAAGATAAGTACTGCTGGAGTTATTGGACTGTTTAATTAATTCATGCATACCAGAAGCATCGCGTCACCCCCGCTAACAACCACCTCAGTGGCTTCAAGCCTACGCTTGAATTTTTGTTTTTTGTTCCCTGTTATACTGATCATAAAGCTTTTTCCCCCTTTTTTAAAATAAAAACCATCTTGCTGTTGCCCTGTTTTCTGATTTTATAGCTGAAGATGTTGTACAGTAACTAGTGCATCTTTGGTAATAGTTAATAGTTTTCATAAATTCTTTTTACCAGATAAAATCAAGGACTTGCTAAGCCAGGATGCAGTGGGTAGCCTGACGAAGCTGGTTCTCGTGAATGCCATTTACTTCAAGGGCAGCTGGAACACGCAGTTTAAGGAGGAGAAGACTGCTGATGTGCATTTTCGACTGAACAAGGTAACAGTGCAGAAAGGCAGCATAGGATGGTGCAGTTATACTTTGATCTGTCATACTACAAACGAGCTGTGGACTTTGCTGAATGAGAACATAAAGCCTGGAGCTCTGAGGGGATAAAATCGTGCTTTTAGGACGATCACTTTCCAACTTTATGCAGTTATGCAATGCAGTTTATTATTCATGTAATATCCAATAAGTTCTCAAATAAATCTCAAACAACAGCACATCACAAACTTCGACTAACAAGAACAAGTTGTGTTGTGACGTGTGCTCTACATCCAAATCCACTCAATGGCTGGAATAAAACCATGACAGAACTTTTTGAGATCATTTTGAGACTAAACACAAAAAACATTTCTCTTGTCTCCCCTATTTTTCAGAACGACACTAAGCCGGTGAAGATGATGCAGCAGAAAAGTAAATTTCCTTTTGCGACCATTCCTGAGGCCAACTGCAAGGTAACATCCATCACTTTCAGCTTATTACAGGATTTCACCAGCATGATCTAAAACTTGTCTTTTACAAATATCAGCCTAAATTTCTAGATTAGGAAGTCAGATCATCTTTGATGGAGTAATAAATAAAAACAATGTTTCTGGACAGATTCTTGAGATGCCGTATAAAGGAAATGACCTCAGCATGCTCATATTCCTGCCTAATGACATAGAAGATGATACCACAGGCTTGGAAAAGGTAAGATGCACTTACCAGTACTTTAATGTCCAGTTTCAATCAGACAAGCTAGTGACACTGTATCCACACAGCTGGAGAAGGAGCTGACCTATCAGAACTTTGTGGACTGGACTCGCCCAGACATGATGAGCCCCAACGAGGTTGATGTCAAGCTCCCTCGATTTAAGATGGAGGAGAAGTATGACTTGGAGAAAATCCTGACCAACATGGGAATGGAGAACGCTTTTGACATCTACAAGAGAGACTTCTCTGGTGAGAAATATTGCACCAATGAGACACACTGAATCAATTATACAGTTATATTGAGAGCACAAAAACTGCAAAACATCATCTGGTAAAGAAAAAAACACAACTGATTTCTGGGCTCTTCATCTACTAGGAATGTCTCCAGCAAATGACCTGATAGTGTCCAAAGTTGTCCACAAGGCTTTCGTGGATGTAAATGAAGAAGGAACTGAGGCTGCTGCTGCCACTGGGGTTGACATGGAAGTCCGCTCTATAACGATTCCCGCTGAGTTTGTTGCCGACCATCCCTTCATCTTCTTCATCCGACATAAACCCACCAAGAGCATTCTCTTTGTGGGCCGGTACTGCTCACCCGAGTAAACACGAGCTGACATTGACATGAATTAAACATAAAACATTATATACAGTATAAGATTTTGTAAGGTAAACCTAGTTCATACAAATGAAGTAAAGAAAAGTTATTAAAACAAAACGTGCCTTGCTGTTTATTCTTTCAGTGTCCCACAGTAGCACATTTCCTGCTAGGAAAATGTCAGAAGTCACATCATTTCTGTAAATTGGGAAGTAACTGTAATATATCAAGTCACCTCTGTCTCTTGTTACCAGGACTTTTAAAATGAATGGTACAACATGGAAAGAGGCCCTACACAAGAGTTTAGCTTTGAGCTCAATATGCGATGATCCTTTCAGCCATGACATCTCTGACATGGGAAACCAGGGAATTTGATTAGAAAATGGTGAAGGATTTTCTTTTCAGTTAGAAACTGGATTTGTGTAACATGTTGGTGAAAAGCCCCCAAAGAAACCAGCATATGATCAGTCGCTATATTGCATTTAATACAAACGTCCTTCGTGTATCCTTTGAATACAGAACAGATCATTTCTGATATCTATGAGTAAACCCAACGAGCACGTGTCCCAAAAGACCCCACAGTGTTTTTATCTGGCTTTTCCCTGACAGTTAGTGGACACTGACAGATGTGTGCTGAATATGAAAGGAAACAAAAGAACTAAAGAAGGTTTGCAGTGTTAAAAACAAGAACTACATGAAGGTTGTTTCATCCTGCTGTAACTTATGACAGAAGCATCTTTTGTTTGTTTTTTCATTTATTTACACAAAGACAGATGTTGAAATAACAGGAGTAACAGTTTAATTCAATTGAAATCGGTCCAATCGTCTATAATGAAATTATTGTTTTTCATTAGTTGGCAAAAGATGGGGGTTGTTGACGGCAATTCAGTGAATGCAACAGGGGAGGACGCCAGTTTGGATGGAGGGGAATCAGCAGGACAGATGAGATTTTGTTTAGGAGTCGAGTAGTTGTGTGAATGAGGAGAGGAGAGCACATTAGACTGCTGAGAGACGGGGAGGTAGTCAAGCACTGACCACATGTCTTCTTGGATTTCAGCAAAACAGATGGGCTCATCTCGGTCTTGGAATAATTCAACTCGGGGTTGAACTGATGCAGTTTGAGAGGCATCTACAGGAGAGGCAGGGGTGGGTGAGGGCTGCTGAGACTGCGCAGTGATGGGGAGGGGGTCGAGCTCTTCCAGCACTGACAGCAGTTCTTCCTCACTGTCTGCGACAAAGGCTTCCTCTGTCTGGAACTGAAGGGCTGCAACAGGGGAGTCCAATGAGGAAAACAAACACAGAGTTTTCATTAGCTGATACAAACTCTGTGCAGTGACTGTTTCATCATTCAGTGCAGTGATGCACACATGTAGGTGAAGGAAATTGCCTTCCCGGGTTTCCTCCGTGGCGTGAGCGATAAGCAGAGTTCTGTCCTTTCCTTATAAGATTCCTAATTATTTAAAGTAACACTCAGGTATGCCATTCAGCTGGGTTAGTTACGACGTCGGGAGCAGCTTGGGAGAACAAGGAAACACAGACTGCTTCAGGTTGTCTTCCCAAATCGACTCAAAGGTTTATTTGATACACAGCAGTTTATATAGAGGAAAAAAGGTTCGTGTGTCAGCTTTCCCAGTTCAAACCGGTACAGACCAAATAAGGAAACGTCTTCCTGCCTTCTGAGCAAAGTATCCCTTGTGTAGTTTATCAGTTCAGCTACAATTTATGATCATCCCAGCAAAATACACTCCTAGACATAGAATACAGAGTTCTTTCATTAGTGAATTCTGAAACGAACCACCTAGCCTTTAACGAGCCTTTTCCAGGAGATAAAGAAAAAGGGAGGATGGGAGTAAGGAAGTGGTCTCATCTCTGTGGTGTTTTCGACCTTGAGGTACCAGCTTGTGAGTCTCACATTAATTCTTGGGTCACAGAGAAAGAGAAAAACAACTAGTAGATTGGCCTTATTGAGTAACAGTTTTCCTGTATAAAACAATATCCTGTAAATGCTTACCGTGGTATCAAAATATCATAACAGTTCCCCTCTTTTATTATTTTAAAAATAATAACTCAAATAGAAAGGAAAAATCACAAATGTAATAACATAATATAAAAAGCAAATCATAAAATGTAATAGTTCACAACCTAATGTTCAATATACACATCAGGAACATCATTGATGACATCTGACACATAATCTGGGTCAATTTGTGCCAATTGCAAATACATTGAAGTAGCTGTACTAGTAGCTATACGGGTTATCATTGAACGTACACAGGGTACCACACAACAGACAATAATCATCAAAAACATGCTGCAACGGTTACAAAGGCTACAATTAGTTTCTTCCATCTTCCAAACGTGTCCTGTAGCCACTTATGTAGCCACTGACCGTGACCTGTATTGGCAATTAGTTCTATCTTCAATGCTTCAAGTCTATTCATAGCTTGTGTGAATGGACCGTTAGGGGCGGTATTATTGGGAATGAAAGTACAGCATACATCAACGGTTACTAAACCACAGGTACCGGTCCAATTAACAGGTAAAGCTAATCTAAGAGTATTATTGCACAACCAATAAGCACGTGGGATTGGTCTAGTTAGGCGCGTGACCATGTGTGATTTAACTAACTCCCCCCAGTCAGTATCATTTAAGACACCCTCTGGGGGAACAATGATCGATTCTCTGCTCGAACTTGAACTGTGTGTGTGTTCCTCCAGATATGATACAACTTCAGCCACAGAGACAGCTAGCCATGTCTCATTACAGCGTGCACCTGGGGAGTCAGAGAAGAATGTATAGTTATCCTTTGTATAATCTATGTGTGTGTCTGGGCCAGTTAACTTTAGTCTGCGCAGACATATCATACTAGTATTAAAATGGAGAGGGATCTGTCCTAAGGGCAGTGAGGGCTTTAACCTATTCTTAGGGCGTTTCATTGGGGCGCAGGTCCCTGCGGTGTCATTAGATAACTTCAATAATTCGCCTAATGGAGTCTCAGGGTTAGTTGGTGTGTGTGTGTGTCTAAGTAGGCAGTCGAGAGGGCTCAGAGTCAACTGTAAAGCGTTTTTAAAGAGAGCATTATTTCCGCTGATTTTCTCTAGTCCCTCAGTGAGGGGGAAACCGGATATGGGGTATCCTACTATTACCTGTTCTGGATTAGCCTTTGAACAGACATAACAGTTACTGTTTCCTAAATCACGAGTGGCTGTTCTGGCATTTTCATACCAGGCGTTAGCTCCTGTTCTAGAGGGCGCATAAGATGGTTTATTAGTGGCGTCTATGTTGCTATTTACTGATTTTAGGGAACGTGAGGAGTGCATTAAGTAGGTGTCTTGCAAAATGGAGCATGAGGTATAGTCAGCAAAATATGACCTGCAGAAATGTGAACATGGTTGCAGTTTACAATACAAAATAGCAAAGAGAAATCCTAAGGTTAATGCGATAGATATGATAAATAACCTAAATATATAAGAAAGTATATAAGAAAAACAGTTCTTCAGTTGTCTCCTGGCCTGGTCCCAGGTTCGAGAGACATTGAATAAGCGTCGTATGATGACAATGGGCATTTCATTTTCTCCATTATCAGGATGAAATGAGTCTAGCTTTATCAGGTTAGACATCATGTGGTACTTTTGGCTTTCTGTTCCTGCTGGATGTTTGAGTACCTTGTTGTTGTTCTTTCAGACGTTGTGTCTTAATCAGTGATTGTGTGTGTGTGTAAATTGGATCCTGGCGCTGGCTCGCCGGAGATGTCATCTACCCGTGTGTTTATTTGCTCTAGTTCCGGGCGCTGGCTCGCCGGAGATGTCGTCTGCTTGATCCGACGCCTGAGATGGTCCGATTGGGCTGGTCTTAACCCTGCTGGCATGAATCCACTGAGGTTGTCCGTCTGTGAGGATGCTGGTTCTTCGTCACTGCCAGTAAAGCCTGGGGGCTGGAAAACGCGGCCTCCCAGAGTGTCCTTGGTTTTAGTGGCTTCTCCAACATGCGTCTCCTTGTCTCCACTGGTGGAACTGTGGAGGGGAAAAGCTGAGAGAGACAAACTTTCTGATAGTTATTATTCAGTTTTTCTACCAGGTTGTGAACATCAGTGGACAATGCAATATACATCACCTTCTACTAGCGGTGCCCCTCTGGAAGCTGACCATGGTGTTGGAAATAGTCTTATTTCAAATGGAGATAATTTGGTTACTGCAGATTGAGTCATTCTAATCTCACACAGGACTTGAGTAAGTAATTTGACCCAGGTCATTAAAGTTTTAGCACATTTTTTAATTACTTCTCATGTGAATGAAGGTCCTCTATCACTGTTAATTTGGTGAGGTATTCCGAATCTGGGTATTATTTCATTGCTCAACTTTTGACAGACTACTTCTGCAGTTTCTTTTGAGGTTGGATAAGCTTCTACTCATTTACTAAATTGATCCACTATTACCAGTAAGTACTTGATGCTTCCTTGCGCTGGCATATGTATAAAATCAATTTGTAATGTATGAAATGGAAAATCTGGTTGTGGTAAATGCTGATGTTTTGCTTTTGAGCTACCTACATTAGTTCGCGCACATGTTAGACAGGTTGCTAATATGCTTTTTACTGCATGTCATGTTTTCTCAATTACAAATCTTGATTTTATTGCCCCTATTACCCCTCTTTGTCCGACATGACTCACACAGTGAAAATGTCGGGCAAGGACTGGCATCAGGGAATATGCGAGGGCAATCAAACCCTTAAGATTTTGTATAAGCCATCTCTGTCATCTAAGGTACAGTCATTATTCTATGCAGAGGCTCGCTCTTGTATAAATTTTAAATCAACATTTGTGTCTAAATAGTCTGGGAGTGTAACAAGTGGCAGCTGTAGGGGCACAGATAATACTTCCTGCGGAGGTGGGAGCTGTGATGCAGCTGCAGCCTTGGCTGTCACGTCTGCTAAGGCATTACCTGTTGCTTCGTCTGTGTCAGCTGTACTGTGTCCTTTCGTTTTTACAACTGCAACGGCCGATGGCAGCTGTATAGCCTGAAAAAGTCTTTGAACAAAATCACAATTTAGCAATTTATTTTACATCAGCAGATCTAAATCCTCTCTGTCTCCACAATGTGCCAAAGTCATGCACAACGCCAAATGCATAGCGGCTGTCTGCGTAAATCGTCACATGCTTATCCAAATGTAGCTCACAGGCGCGTATTAAAGCCATGAGCTCTGCTTTTTGTGCTGAGTGAAATGGTAATGAGTGAGCCTCTAGTATGATGTCAGGCACTGTTACCACTGAATAGCCACAAAGAAATGAGTTGTCATTCGGCCTTGAACAGGACCCGTCCACATAAACCGTGGCTGAGTCTGAGATAGGTGTTTGCTCTAAATCTGGACGTGGTGCTGTGGATTCCTGTATACGTGTCATGCAGTCATGAACGTCAAGCCTGTCTGAGCCATCCTGTCGGTCAGAAGAACACAGCATAGGATCAATAAATGTCATGGCGAATCAGGTGTGCTGCTCGCTTTTATAGTGAGATTTGCATATGTTGTTTAGTTATGTTTGCTACAATGGTCGTGACCTTGTGATTGGTGTGTAGAATAGTGTCATGTGAGAGTGTGAGCTTCCCGCAGTCCCTCATCATGATAGAGCAAGCTGCTACTGCCCTCAGGCAGGCCGGCATTCCTGAACAATTCAGGCAGCACCTTTGAGTGGCGGAGGTCAGCACTCCCTGTAATGCATTGAAAGAGGCAGTCATTTCTGTGGACCACAGTATTCGAGGAGGCTTGTCTTTTTTTACAACAGTCACGCAGAATGTGGTCATGAAAAGAACAGTCTGGTATCCACTGTCTGCAATAGTTCACCATGCCCAAGAAGGACAACATTTCCTTCTGTGTAGTGGGACGAGGGACGGAGGTCACAGCTTTGACCCTGTCTGCAGTCATGGAACGTTTTCCGTGAGACAGTGTGAATCCCAAATATTGAACAGAAGTCTGACAGTACTGCATTTTCTTTGCAGATGCTTTGTGGCCAGTCTTTTGGAGGTGCTGGAGAAGCATGTGTGTAGCAGTTTGACATAGTTTTTCACTTTCAGCACAGAGGAGGAGGTCATCCACATGTGGATCAGGGTGCAGCCCTGGAGGAGTGAAGCACCATTGAGAAAGCAGCAGAGCTGTCCATCATGCCTTGGGGCAAACGAGTCCAAGTGTACTGCTTATTTCTATGTGTGAATGCAAATAACGGCTGTGTGTCACAGGTACTGAGAAAAAGGAGTGGAGCATAAATCCACCACGGTAAAATGTGTATGCAATGCATGTCAATATGCTGTGAACATCTGAAACGAGAGGTGGCAGAGGAATGTTGACTGCATTAATTTGCCTCAAGTCTTGTATGAAACGCCATACGCCAGGTTTGTTAGGCTTTGGCACAGGATTGACAGGAGTGTGGGCTTTATTACTCCTGTAGTCAATAAATCTCCTATCATGACATCTAGGGCTGCGGCTTTTTCCGTGGAAAGGGGATGTTGCTTGACATATACTAGCTTGTTGTGTTTTAATAGGTGTACGTGATAAAGTGTACAGTCAATAAATCCTATATCATTCTCACTTTTAGACCACAATGTCATATTCTGGTATTCAGCTGGCAATGTAACTGCAGAAATAGTACAGTGGATAGGGTAGGTTAGATCTATGTGTCGACATATTTCGTAACCTATGTCTGAGTTATGTAACAAAATCACTGTTTGACCTTCACTTGTGTGAGCAGTTATCATGTTGTTGAACAGTGTGAGAGAAACAAAAGTGTGGCTCCCAGTCATGGGATTACCTGTTAGTGGCGTCTGTACACGTTTTTTTTTTTTTGGCACAGTGTGTGACATAGAGTACCGGACAAAAAGGATGTTGAGTTCATTCTCTGCTGAGGGTCCAGCTGACACAGAGGATGTTCCTTCTCCATCATGTCGGTACATAGGGCAGAGAAAACATAAGCTGTTATCAGTGTCAGCAAACATTTCACCCTTTGTGTTAAATTAAATACACAAATTCATTTTTGCCTTGGGTGTCTGCGGCTGCTGGAAAACTGAGCTAAATTTGCACCTCTAGCTTGTCCAACAGTGCATAAAGCGTTTTATGAATACTAGGATAGATTCATCAGGCTTCTGTTTACACATAGTTACTGCATTTAAGTCACTTTTGTCTCTGGACATTGTTAGCAGGAATTTCTTTAGATTCTTAAAGAAATTGGTGATTTTGTCATTATTTACCCACAAAAACTCTGCAGTTGTGGATGCTTTATCATGCTTTGGGTCTGTTTGTTTACTACCGCGAGTGTTGGCGTAAGGACCTTTGTCATTCCGGCTTTGTTTTTCCTTTTTTCCTTTTAGATAAGTCTTTATTAAAGTTCGGGTAACAGGTATTTCTTTAGCTACCTCTAAACCTCTAGCTACGATATCGTGGCGTTTCATGTGGGTGTCTATTGTGGACACTGCCTGATGCAAAAGTTTTTCTTCATAGTCGTCTAAATTGTTTTTCATAAGTTCCTCACATTCTTCTTTCAAACGTTTTTCTCTCTTTCTATGTTCTGCTAATTCTTCCTCGCGGCGTATATATTGTTTTTCCTGATCCTGTTTAAAGAGATGGCTAAGATCCGTTGCATGTGATTCAGGTTTTTTGTCGCTTTCTTTTGAGCTGGTTGGATCAGAATGCTGACATTGTTTGCGTGCAGCTGCTGCAGCAACTATTAATTCGGTCTCATCTTCGTAAGGCGGCGGGGCTGTGGGCTGAATGGCTGAGCATGCAAGACTAGCTTTTCCCGCAGCAGATTTATTTTCTATGCTGGAGCCTGCACTAGTTTTATTTGATGTAAAAGTATCTACACCTGGTTCCGGTCCTTTTGTCCATAGTGGTAACATTTGATGTATCACGTCGCGGCATTCTGTCATGTATTTTCTACAGGACTTTTTAAGCAGACTACTTTTCTTATCACAAATGATATTCAACATTTCTACTGACCTGTTTTCTGGCGATAATCGTTCGGGATAAGGCTCCGGAAATAAATTAGAATGCATTGAACTTCTTAAGTTGTAAACAAAGTCAGTCACATAAGCACTCCCGCATGTTCTGGATACGTGATCATGGACGTCTTCACCGATTCGTGGACGTAGGTTACACGTAACCGGAAATGGGAGTTATACTGAGCCGTTATTTGAGACTTTATTTTGTATTTTATTAATTTTTGGTTTTACAGGTACTTTAGATTTTTTTATCGGACCTGTCTGTGGTCTTTGAATAATTCTGACCCATGTTCAGTGATTTCCAGAGGGGTTTACACGCTAGGAGGATTTAGGTTAGTATTTTCGCTGCGGCACAGCTGAGGTCACTTTAAATTTATTGCTAGCAATTTTTTGTTTGTGTGAGCAACTCTCACTTAGCGAGCAACTTCTCGCTTAACGAGCAACTTCTCGTAAAACAACAGGCAACTTCCTGTGTCTTTCTGCTTTTAATTTACTGCTTTTAACCCTTGTATGGTAATCGGGTCTGTGAGACCCGTTCAACTTCTCCCTGTGTCACTCTTTGGTGAGCAACTTCTCACTTAACGAGAAGTATTTAAGACAACAGGCAACTTCCTGTGTCACTCTTTGGTGAGCAACTTCTCACTTAACGAGAAGTATTTAAGACAACAGGCAACTTCCTGTGTCACTCTTTCTGAGTGAGCAACTTAAACAAAATTAAAATATTCAAGACAACAGGCAACTTCCTGTGTCCACCAACACCACACAAGGGTTAATTTACTTTATTCGGGGACTGAGGAAGTCAGTCAGTGTATCTCTCTGGATCACTAAGTGAAACTTCGTCAGCATATCCCGTTTCTTTATTCGGGGACTGAGGAAGTCAGTCAGTGTATCTCTCTGGATCACTAAGTGAAACTTCGTCAGCATATCCCGTTTTTTTTATGGATCGATCACTGAGAGAGGTATAATAGGTCTTTATATAAATATGAAAGACGCATATTTACCTTCTGTCAGTCATCCCACTTCTGACACCAAGATTGAAGGAAATTGCCTTCCCGGGTTTCCTCCGTGGCGTGAGCGATAAGCAGAGTTCTGTCCTTTCCTTATAAGATTCCTAATTATTTAAAGTAACACTCAGGTATGCCATTCAGCTGGGTTAGTTACGACGTCGGGAGCAGCTTGGGAGAACAAGGAAACACAGACTGCTTCAGGTTGTCTTCCCAAATCGACTCAAAGGTTTATTTGATACACAGCAGTTTATATAGAGAAAAAAAGGTTCGTGTGTCAGCTTTCCCAGTTCGAACCGGTACAGACCAAATAAGGAAACGTCTTCCTGCCTTCTGAGCAAAGTATCCCTTGTGTAGTTTATCAGTTCAGCTACAATTTATGATCATCCCAGCAAAATACACTCCTAGACATAGAATACAGAGTTCTTTCATTAGTGAATTCTGAAACGAACCACCTAGCCTTTAACGAGCCTTTTCCAGGAGATAAAGAAAAAGGGAGGATGGGAGTAAGGAAGTGGTCTCATCTCTGTGGTGTTTTCGACCTTGAGGTACCAGCTTGTGAGTCTCACATTAATTCTTGGGTCACAGAGAAAGAGAAAAACAACTAGTAGATTGGCCTTATTGAGTAACAGTTTTCCTGTATAAAACAATATCCTGTAAATGCTTACCGTGGTATCAAAATATCATAACAGTAGGAACTGCATGTTGGCACTTTGGACATACATAGTTTTCTTTGGTCGACCAGGCTGGATGCTCTTTGGCATGATTCTGTCTTTCTGTTTCAGCCTGCTTGAAATATCTGGCTTTCTGGTCGTTTGAAAGCGACTTCCACTGTGGACAGAAGATCATAAGAACACACTGTGAGCACTGCTACTACACATAACTACAGGACAGCTGGGACACATGCAAAAACATGAGCAGACAACATTAACAGATGCATAAATGTATGCAGAGTTACACACTTACTCTCTGTCCCACCACTGCATTTCCGGCTGCACTTCCAGGGATGTTGAGTTCAGCAATGACCTTTGGCCTCTGCTCTTTGAGATAGAGCATGAAGGCATTTGGCAGCTTCGTGACGTATGGCCCATCTTCATCCTGAATGTGTTCACTGACAGGTGTTGCCAGCTGTGGTGGCTTGTCTCGCGCTCAAAGAGGACAAAATAGAGAACAATACAGTGTTCAGCTGCCTGGCTGTGCTTTACACACAGCCCTGCTCTGGTACACACACTATGCCGGCCTTTGTACACTCTCTCCATCTAATGATAGAGAGGAAGGATACATTCACTACTTCTAGCCTCCACTATTCAAATTGAGTATTTTCACAGTGTCCTAAAAGCTTCCTGAAAAGCCTTTACACTATTTTCCAAAACGCTGCATCCAGAGCACAGTCAGGGACTGGAAGGAGAGAGTAGATTTCCCCCATATGGACTTCTCTCTTCATTGGCTCCCAATTAAATCCCAAATAAAAATCCAAATACTTGCCCTCACACACACAAGGTCTTGAATAATCACCCCCAATTTTGTCTACAAGATCTCACAGTGCCATATCATCCCAACAGAGTGCTTTGCTCTCAGACTGCTGGCTTCCGAGGGGATTTAAAAGTACAATGGAAGGCAGAGCCATCACTTTTCAGGCCCCTCTCTGTGGAACCAGCTCCCACTTTGTATTCGGGACACAGACACTTGCTCTCATTTTTTAATTAAGCGTGAAACCTTTTTGCCAAAGTCCAATAACTTGAGAGAGGAGCCAAAGACGTCCTCGTCCCAGATTCGTCCCAAGATAGATTCACACCTATTCGCACCTTGTCTGCTGTGACCTGAAGAACTCGCGTGACCATTGCGACTCTCAAGGTGCTAAAAATCACACAAGAGTTTAAATGCGTGAGAGGCCACACTTGAGTAGCAAAGAAGCTTAGCTGATGAGATTAAATGTGCAGTTGCATGAAAGCACTAGTCTTTTTAGTGATCTACCTTTTGACCAGTTTAGAACCTGACAAGCGAGTAATCACAATGCCCACCTTGTTAATTGTCCTGAAAGCTTCATAAGCCGGACAATGAATCAGTGATGTTGCAGTTTTTCACAGCGATGGTGGTATAGTGGCGAGCATAGCTGCCTTCCAAGCAGTTGACCCGGGTTCGATTCCCGGCCATCGCAGTTGCTTCTCGCAGTGCTGTTCAAGCATGTGGGCTGTGTACTGTTTTACAGTAAAAACGTTCTCCGCTCTTTCTGCAAAGGCTTACAATGTCAGGCCAGGTGCATTCTTCATCGGCCTCGCTGCTACCGTTTGCTGTGGAAAGACACTGTTCACACAGGCTTTGAGTTCTCATCACTTCATACATATACCTTCTTACATGACACTGTGATTGGACACGCTACTTCTTCATAAAGACACCCAGTCCCACTTTAAATATTGTGCTGAATGTTTGGAATGAAGATAACATTTTACTAACCATGTACTGATCAGCTCTTTGCGGTGGCAAAATCATCAGCTGTGTGTGTTACTGTTCATGCAAACAAGCAAGCTAATGTCAGCCAGCTAGCTTCAACCGCAGCTGTGCTGCACCAATCTCACGGAACTGCAAAACCACAAGCTTTCTCACCAAAGTCATGCAGCTACCGCATTTACAATCCAGCGTGGCCGTTGTTGTGCACATCCTACTTGAAAGACGTGTGGCGTAGGACTTGGAAGACGTATGTCTTTCAAGTATGTAGCTCCAAAACCAAATGTGGTTGTTGTGGCCGAGCGGTCAAGGCGATGGACTCGAAATCCATTGGGGTCTCCCCGCACAGGTTCGAATCCTGTCGACAACGGTCAGCTGTTTTGCGGCAGTCCAGACGTTGATTTGAGAAGAAGCCACGGCATGGAGATCACCTGAGAAGGTGCCAGGAGAAAGAGCCAGGCCTTTGCTTGTGAAAATAGAGCACGCAGAAGCAATGGACCCAGCTATGTCCTGACAAAATTAGGCACATATTCAGTAAACATGGCATCCTTCAATTGCTCTCTTAGGCACCCCAGACGTGTAGTCATCCAGGATCCTGTCTGAGTACCGCCAATGACTGATGCGTCTGACAAATGCTGATTGCTTTGCAAGAGGATCGGGATTGGAGGGACAGCGGATTTCACCGGGAATGGGACAACAGCAGAAATAGCTTCAAACATCAAACATTACTGCATGAAAAGCACAAAGAGTGGACACATTTCATTGTTTGGAGCACTGCTTTTCACTTCAGCTCTTTGCATGTAAAAACTTTGCTCTTCTCCACAGCTGGCTGACGGACACGCAAAAGTGCAAGCAAGAGTGGCCACAGACCCACTATGCCGGCCTTTGTACACTCTCTCCATCTAATGATAGAGAGGAAGGATACATTCACTACTTCTAGCCTCCACTATTCAAATTCAGTATTTTCACAGCGTCCTAAAAGCTTCCTGAAAAGCCTTTACACTATTTTCCAAAACGCTGCTGTGCTGCCCCTTTAATCCTCCCCAGTTCCCTCAGTTTGAGATCCTTCTTGGACTTGGTGTCATGGTACTCCAAGTTTTGCCAAACTTTGCAACTGTTGCAGCCCCTATGTGTGCCTGTGCTAACGACAAGAACACTTTCACATGGACTTCAGGTGCACAAGCGAGCTTTGAAGAAGTAAAAAAACTCCTGGTGAATAGTCCTGCACTGGCACTGTTTGACCCTGCCTTGCGTGTTGTGATCTCTACTGATGCAAGTGACTATGGGCTTGGTGCTGTATTTGCTCAAGTGCAACCTGATGGCACAGAAAAACCTGTGGCGTTTGCTACCTGCACACTGCCTGCAACAGATCAAAAGTACTCAACTGTTGAAAAAGAAGCTTATGCTTGTGTGTGGGCTGCAGAGAAATGGAGAACGTATTTGTGGGGCCGACGTTTCACTCTGCGGACAGACCACCAAGCTCTGACAACGCTGCTGAGCACCAAAGGGTTTAATAGGGTTGGCATGCGCATCGCCCGCTGGTCTGCCCGCCTCCTGTGTTTTGACTATGATGTTATTTACCGCCCAGGTTCTCAGAACTATACAGCTGACTGTCTCTCTCGCCTGCCCCTGCCCGTTTCTTCCCATTCCACATCAGATTCAGATCATGAAATGGTAGCCCAAGTTTCTGCTGCCATGTCCTCACTTCCAGTTGCGGGCTTTGACTCTGCCTGTTCAACTTGCCCTGAACTGGTTGCTTTGCGTTCACAAATACAAAGTGGCTGGCCTGCCTCAATCAAAGCACTTGATGTCACGCTTGCACCTTACTACAAAATCCGTAATGAACTCTCAACCCTAAGTGATTATGTTCTCAGAGGCTCAAGGCTCATTGCACCACTTTCAGTGAGACCTAAACTGATTGCACTGGCACATGAAAGTCACCATTGTGCGCACAAAACAAAGATTAAGAGATCTCTACTGGTGGCCAAAAATGGACTCGCAAGTTCAGTCTGCCATAACCTCATGCCTCCTTTGCCAGTCCAATGACAAAACTGCACATACTAATCCTGCTCCTCTCCAACCCGTCCCACTGCCTGATGGACCGTGGAAAAAACTTGGTCTTGACATTGTTGGGCCTTTTGATACTGCAATACCTGCTTGTAGATACGTCATAACATTGACTGACTACTACTCCAAATGGCCTGAGCTTGCCTTTTCACCTTATGCTACTACTGATGATGTCATTCAGTTCCTCTCATCTGTCTTTAGTCGTCATGGCAACCCAGAGAACATCATAACTGACAATGGTGCACAGTTCACCTCTGTAATGTTCACCTCATTCCTCCAGAATAGAGGCATCTCCCACAGCAGAACATCTGTCTACTACCCAGCTGCAAACGGAGCAATCGAACGGTTTCATCGTGCCCTCCGCACCTGTATCCAGACATCAATCCAGCAGTCGAAACCATGGAAGGCGACTGTGCTGGATTGGCTTCAAGTTTACTGTGCAACACCGCATGCAACTACTTCCCTCTACTTCCCTCTCCCTAAGAACTCCTGTGTGGCAGGAAGATGCGTACTATACTGGATGTACTCCCTTTGCCTCCTGCTGTGTCTCCACTGGATACGTTGCACGTCACTCAGTTCAGAAATATCAGTTGAAAATGCAACGTTACACTGATGGTAGGCGTCACGCACGGAAACCTTCTTTTCTACCAGGAGAGAGTGTGAGGATAAGGAAACCCCACCATGTTCCCAAAGGACATCCCAGATTTACCCCTCCTGTAACAGTAACAAAAGCCAAAGGCTTGAATGCCTTCTTGCTGAGTGATGGAAAGAGTTGGAATGCCACTCATCTAGCACGCTGTCGCCCAGTGACTGAAAAGAACGCTGACACTGCTAGGCTGCACCACACTCAGACTGGCTCACCTACTGCCAGAAGACTGCCACGCGTCAAGTACAAGCCTCGCTGGCACAAAGACTATATTGTAGCATAATAGGTTGCTTCCTCTCTGTGCAGGGGGATGACTGAAGGGATCACCTTGCTAATCCTTGCTGTCCAAACTGGCCTCATTGAGCTGCAGGTCATCCACAGAGCCTTCCTCCTCTCTATCATCCTCTTTATTGTTGTTGCTTCCATCCTGCAGTCCATGCTGGAGATAGCTGAGTCCTAGCCCTGGGAGCATGTAGAGGCAATTAAGATAATATACCAAAGACTTTTTTCATGTGTTTATTTTTAAGAAAACTCTGTGTCCCACTGTTTGTTTTATTTTTTACTGATCATAAACAACCAGAGGTGTGGACTCGAGTCACATGACTTGGACTCGAGTCAGACTCGAGTCATTAATTTTATGACTTTAGACTTGACTTGAAAAAATGTTCTAAGACTTGTGACTTGACTTGGACTTTTACACCAATGACTTGGGACTTGAATTGGACTTGAACCGGTTTACTTGAAAAGACTTGATATTTCACCCCAAATATAAAATTTAACATACATATTATATAGAGATTGAAAATGTGACGTCATTCAGGGGTAAAACCGCAAAGGATTCTGGGAACTCGTGGCAAGAGGTACTAGCGCACGCAGGCTTTCAATTGAAATCACAGCGATAAAAAAGAAACACAAAAATGGCAAGAAGCTGTTGTATTATTAACTGCAATAGCCGGTCGCATGACAGCCACGGGAAGCCGACGGGTAAAGAGATCGGTTGTTATCGGATTACGTTGTTGAAGAGAAATTGTTCGAGCCATGTTTCCGAAGTAACAAAGAGGCGACGGGTGGCCTGGATTGCAGCCATTCAAAGACCAAATATAACGTCCCAGAACACTCCAGCTCACAGGTTAGTCTGCTCCAAGCATTCCACAAAGGTCAGTCTGCTGTTGTAGTTAATGCGTCATTTTCATAACATAATTGGTGATATAGGTTACAAGCAAGTCTGGCGCTGAACAGAAATTGTCGCTCCTTTGTTTGTTGTGCATAAATAGTGAATTGTCCTGACACAATATTGCGTTTCGCTTCTGTTATTTTGGTACATTGACAAAAACATATACTTTTATTGACAGGATAAAACAGGTTTTTTGTATCACTAATTGTCCAGTACGATTACAGCATACAGTATTATTGTCACTGCTACATTTCTGTAACGCGTACCAGAAATTATTTCCACTGCTAATTAATTACCGTTGAGCTCAAAGGTCCTATTAATAAACGGTTAAGGAATGTGTATTTATGACGACAATTTGTGAGACTGGTAAACTTATGATACGTACGATGGTCTTTCGTTCTACACGGTGCATTTCAAGGTCCTGCACCCATCCGTCGGTAAACTGTACCTGGGCTTGTTGCAGTGACCTGAAGTTACTATCGTGCCAAACTAGGTATCCCCGACAGAATTTGTTTCCCCTGCGTCGGGAGCACACGCTGGACTGTCCAAATCACGGACAAACAGTATCCCACATTGTTGATTTTTAGTTTACAAACACTTCTTATAATGACTGACTACTCCTGACATTTTTGAGATCTTAGCTCTTTATACAACGAAGTTATAGTGGGATACAAATAATATCAGGCTGGTCCTGCCACAATTTGTTCCCCTGTGTAAATCACGGACAAACAGTATCCCACATTGCTGATTTTCGTTCACAAACACTTCTTATTATGACGCATTTCTCCTGAACTTTGGAGGATTTAGCTCTTTATAATAAAG